CCCCCCCCCCTGTCCGACATGTCTCCCCCTACCCATCACGCCCACCACGCAGCATCCCACCGCTCTGGTGACGGCACCGCACTCCGAGGCGGTGGAGGGCGGGAAAGGCAAGCAAGGCGCACAGGCATTGGCAACTAGGTGAGTTTAGGGGGGGCAGGTGCGTTGAAGTGTGCGGAGATGGTCATTTGTGTTGATTGGGGAACGTGGTAATAGATTAATAGATACTAAAAATGAGAGAGGGAGGCAGGTGACTTGGCCGAGTGGTTAAGGCGGCAGTCTTAAGATCTGCTTGCATTTGCAATCGTGGGTTCGAACCCCACAGTCACCACTGAATTTTAACTTGCAATGCTTTTGGCGGCCCAGCATGCGATTATCTTTACAGTCTACCAACTTCAATCTGGAAAGACCCGCAATGAAGCGCTGGCAGTGGTTTGAATCCCTCAGCACTCGATCACCATTCTTGGAAGCCTTGGACCGGTTTTCTTTGACCCGCCACCTCCTTCGCAATCGTGATTGCGTTAAGCCTGATTCGATCCCGCACTATCCATATCTTTCTTGGACCCGCCACCCATCCTCTCACGTCTGCCAGACGGAGGAGGCAAGTTCAACCGAACGTCCGTGGTCACGACCTCATGAATCCCCCAACGACAGTTGGCTCCACTTCCCTTGCCCATCTCCTCTGCCAGAACAAGGCAAGCATGAGATGCTTTCGCCAGATGGAAGATGCCTACGACACTTTCCCCTGTTCGTTCCCCTTTTCTTCGTTCTGCTCCACCCGACCCCATACGACAAGTGTTCTCGATAACATAGATGGTGCAAGGTACCAGCTTTCAAGGTACCAGCTTTCTGTCCTCACTGCCGATGGAAAGGCATCCAAGATATGTCCTCTTCCCGCCCTTTCACCGATCTTCGACTTGTTGCTTGTGCCCATATCAAGCATCGCCATCAACCATGGCACTGGTTTGACTAGTCTCTGGCAAAGGTGTACACTTCTTTTGCGTGAAAGCACAGCTGATCATCAGTCAGTATTTTGTCCGGCCCGTGTTAAGGTTCAAGGCATGTTGGATTGTGTTGGAAAATGTGGTGATTCTCGATTCCTTGACTGAGTTGACCCCGGAGTCTCCTCTGGTCCTGCTTTTTGACTCGACAAGCATTAGGTGAAAAACACCTCCTCTCATAAATACCTGTTTTGCAGTTCCCATCACAGGCATGGCTCCCCGATCTTTTCGCCAGCTAAAAGGGCAACCAAGAACCTCCACCTTGAACGCCCAAAATGGTCTTTTCCAATTATCACTCGGACCGATTCTTCTATCGCCCATGGCTGTTGTCAGCTTATTTTTTTTGGCTGGCATTGGGTCCCTCTCAAACCAAAGACTAAAACCAGCATCAATAATGTCTTGCTGTTCTGGATCGACAATTATAGACAATCGATGCCCGCCATTTTGTTCTCCAAGGCTGAAACTCGATGCTGTTCTTCCACCGACCACCATCCTTGGTTTATCATCCCCAGCCACGGGCTGTTCCCTCGGGGTTTGCTGCTCAGGGAGTGCCAGTCAAGAGCCATCTGCGATGACAAGAAATACCCACTCACGTCACTGACAGTACCACCGCCACATTCGACAGCCTGTCGGTCCCAGTGACGCCGAATTCACCATGGCAGCCGATTGTGAGCCTTTTTCTTCATCAACAATCATTGCAGCAAATCATCCATGATGATCAGACATTCTCCAAAGATGGAGGTGCCCTCCCTGGATTGGAATGAAATCCACGATGGTCTCCAAGCACAGAACTGGTTCCTCGCAAGCAGATCTTTTTGCATGAAACCACAGATAACCATCAATATCAGTGTTCCCTCCATTTTTCTTCTGCTCCGAAAGTGCCATTCAGTCGCCATCTGCGACAACAAAAAATACTACACTCATGCCACTGACTGCACCATCACCACTTTCAACAGCTAACCGTCCCTCGTGACAATTATCAGTGCTGCCGCATTCCCGGCCAGATGATCATAAGGTTATTTCCCAATCAACACTCATTGCAGGACACCATCAGCGTCCATCGGCTTATCATAAACCCGCCCATGAATCTCACGATCGTCACCAACAGAACTCGTCGAAGGCCTTCCTATCCCCGTTCTTTTTTCCTGCTTGGGAAAGTGCTAGTGAAGAGCTATCTGCGACAATAATAGAAGCCCCCACTCATGTCCCGCTTTTTGACTCTACAAGCATCAGTTGAGAGAACTCCTTCCCCTGTCAGACATCTGGTTAAGAAGGCTGCCCAATTTTCGGGCCAGTTGAAAGGGCAACTAGGAACCTCCGAACCTCCTGGGACGCCCCAAAATGGGGTCTTCCAATCATCACTCGGACTTGGTTTTCGCCGCCAATGGCACTTGTCCAGAGTTATTTTCGGCTTCATATATTGGCAACAGGTCCCTCTCCAACAAAAACCGACAACCACTCACCACAAGACTCGATTGTGTTCGGTCACTCCACACTGTGGTTCGATGATCTCTAGGTGCTCTACACATTTTGGCATAGGACAATCCATGCCCGTTTATCACCAGGCTTTTCTCCCCAGCCGTAACTGGCTGCTGTTCTTCAAACACCACTCTGGTTGATCATCTCCGGTCACAGACTGTTCCCTCGTCGTTTTTTTCCTACTTGGCAAGCGCTAATCAACAGCCATCTGCGACATCGGGAGCTTTTGCAAAGATAATCATTCCTATCAGTGTTCCCTCGTTCTTGTTTTCCTGCACGGGGAAGTGCCAGTCAAGAGCTATATGTGACAACACCAGACATACTATTTACGTCACCGTCTGCTCCGACCCATTCGATTGCTGGCCGTCCCCTGTGTCGATGCTCAGTGCCGCCACATACCCGGCCAGATGTCGGTGAACTTTTTCCCTCATCAACAATCATTGCAGAACATCATCAATATCGATCAGCGGCTTAGGAGACCGATACCCCCCGCCCCCCACCCCCTCCCCGCTCGATTGGAATGAATACCACGATCATCACCAACCACAGAACTGGTTTGAGTCGTCTCAGGCCCGGCGTGACAGATAAGAGCGTCTCCTTTTGCATGAAAGCAAAGATAATCACTATCAGTGTTCCCTCGTTCTGGTTTTCCTGCTCGGGAAGGTGCGAGTTAAAAGCCATCTGCGACAACACCAGACACCCCACCCACTTTACAGACTGCACCACCGCATTGAACATCTGGCCGTCCCCTGTGTTGATTCTCTGCGCCGCCAATTGTACCAGCGGCAGCTGATTGTGAGCTTTCCCCAATTGCAATCAACAATGCAGGACATCATAAAATTAATCAGCGCCTATTCGGAGACCGATGCCCCCCGCCTCGATTGGAACGAATCTCACGATCGTCACCACTCACAGAACTGGTTCGACTCGTCTCGGGTCCGTCTGTGCTCTGTACGTAGTACTTGCTTCTCCTTTTGCATGAATGCAAACAAAGTTAAAAAGTTACTTTTAAAGATGATCAATCATCCCTATCAGTGTTCCCTCGTGCATGCACCATCAGCTGGCCGTCCCCCTGCGTCGACTCACAGTGCCGGCAATTGGTGACCAGCAGCCGATTGTGAGCTTTTTTCTCATCAACAATCATTTGCAGCCGGACATCATCAGCATCGATCAGCGTCACTCTAGTACCGATTCTCAATGTTCAAATGGAAATCCAATGCTCAATTGATATCTAATTTTGCCCACCAACGGGAGGGGAAGCCCTGGGACGGAGAGGGGCACAGCAACGAGAGTGAATTCTCACAAGTCAACGTCCGCTTCGGCCATCTTTGCCTTTTCTTTCCACGGTCAAAACTGCGGTTGTCGCTGATTGTTTTGATCTGAGCCCCATCCATTTTGTACTTCACGGGAAAGCCGAAAGGGGCGACCTGCACATGAAGGCCTGGCGAACACTCGATGCACCTGCCAACAAACGTTACCCACTGAGACCGGGACATTTTGTTCACTAGGGAGCGATGGCGCTGCGACGTCTTCATCGCGATGCCCTCTCTATGATGATTATCTTTGCTTTCGCGCAAAAGGAGATGACACCTTGATATGAAGCTGGAGACAAGTCGAACCAGTTCTGTGGGTGGTGACGATCGTGAAATTCAGGGGGGGGCATCGGTCTCCGAATAGGCGCTGATTACTTTTATGATGTCCTGCATTGTTGATTGTAATTGGGGATAAGGC